TGGTGTACTTCGTTCAGTTACGTATTGCTGACGTGTTGACGGTGAAATGAAGGGGAAGGGGTAGGTGTAAGCGAGAATAGGCGCCGCGCGCGCGCGTGTGTGTGTGTGTGTGTGTGTGATGACATAATAATGATTATATTAACGGTTTATATTGTATTAAATGTTAATAAAATATTTATTGAGAATGTAGATATTTTATAGTCGCGTATCAATTGTAATTTGTATTATATATAATATTGCAGATTTATTAGAATAATTATAATAATTATTATGTAATATATATGTTGTACAGAGTGATCCATTTAAGTGTAAGGAGGTTAGGTTAGGTACTAACCAGTAAGAACTGATTTTATGGAAAAGTACTATCATTTATGGAAATAATATTGATTGCAGGATAGATTTAAAGTCCTGAGAAATACCTACTCATTTTTGAAATAAAATTATATTTTTACTGTTTTTATTAGTCAACATATCTTAAGTTATTAGTTTTTTGTAGGATGACCACAAATATTTTATTAGTTATTACTAGGGCTCGGAAGTTGATGCATTTTGCACTGTTTCATAAGCATGTGAATCTAAATAACTAATTTTTATTTTGCATTTTTTTGCATTTTTTGCTGTTTATTACTTTTTAAGTCATTTTTCCATATTTTTAGTTATTTTTACTGATTTCACACTAGTTCATTTCTTATCGTTTCTTGTTGACCATTATGCCGATAACTTAAATCACAGACGTTTATAAAACAAATATTTTTAATTTTTTAATTTTCCTATTTTAAGGACATTTTTGTCATTTTTATGTCATATTTTGAATTTTATAGTAAAATAGAGTAAAATATTTAAAAAAAATGTATTTTTATTAATATAAAACTAATATTTGTAATTTTTTTAGGACATTTTTTGCCATTGTTATGGTCATTTTTTATTGTTTTTAAGGTCATCAACTTCCGAGCCCTAGTTATTATAGAGTTCGGACAAGACAACATTTATGAAAAAAATTAAATTAACTTTTCAAATCACAATAGATATTTATGTATATTTATTTATTTTAAGTTCTTATTCAAAAACTGAATATATTTTTTTTAAATATATCAATGCGTAATATTTTAATTTTGGACGAGTAATAATTAGTAATAACTTGAGTTAGGATTTTAATGACCTAAAAAATACACAAAATGCACTAAAAAAATGCAAAAATTACCTACCTAAAAACTCTAAAAAAATCAACTAAAAAATGTACATGGATAAGCAAAAAAAAAAAAATTAATTTTAAAATAGTTATAATTATTAGTTATTAATTATTATTTATTCATTTTTTATACCACACAAAATAGGTAAAAATTTATTTTGAGAAGTAAATTATACAAATATATTCAAGTTTAAGTCTACAATTAATTATATTACTTTTTCAATATCAATGGAATGGAGTACCTAATTGGGATTATCTATACAACCAGGGGCGTGCCGAAGAGGTGGTTTTGGGGGTTCAAACCACCCCCAAATTGACTGGCTTATTTTTTTCAACTTAATGATATTTACAAAATAAAAAATATACATTAACATAATATTATGGGAAAATCCGATAATATAATAATTAATAAAAAATAATACAATATTTGACGATCTTTGGGTTTTATTCTCTTTAGTACATTTCTGCGTACTTTATATTCGTAGACTTTATTTTATAGGTAACTAATTTATCAATTTTAATTTTATTTTTGACTAAACAAATTTTAATTAAATTTGTTTTCATTAATACAGTATATACTTACATTTATTTGAATAATATATTGTTCTAAGTATTGAAGTTTAACTTTAAAACTTTAAGGTTAAATTAAACCATCTCCAAAAAGAAATCCTGGGCACGCCCCTGTATACAACATATATTTAAAAAAAGCTTAAAATAAACAAAAATGAATTAAATACACAAAATTATAACGTAAGATTCGTAAAAATTACCATAAATTCAATAAAATGCATTTAACACAAAAAATGAAAAATATAAACTACACGCCATTCTAATTTTTTGTACAACAAAACAAATTTGGTTTTTGGTTAAAAATGTATAGCACTAAAAAAAAAAATCATCAAAACCCTAGCTCTACTAATAACTAATAAGTATAAACAATATTCTATTAGTTCTGTTAGCAATTATAATAAAGCAAAATAAATAAAAACTTTCAAAAACTATGCACGAGAAATCCTTGCATCTTCAATGAAAGCAATAAAAAAAAATGATCTCTGTCCATTAATTTAATATTCTTTTAAATAATATAGTTTTATCGGTTAATAACTTCATTAATGCCGTGATGTCATAAATATACAAAAAAAAACATAAATATACTGATCAAAAAACAGTTGTATTTCTAATATTTTTCTATATTTAAGGGTTAACTAAAAATATTGTCGCAATTAATATATTGTCACTCAAAAATAATTTACGGTAAAATTTGAATCTTTACCAATGCGTATTATTATTCAGTGATTAGTATTGTATCATACAAACAGTCAAGATGACGACATACTGCAATTTATACACATCATGAAAGCTTCCAAGTCTTGCGTTTGATTAGATATACACTAATAAAAAAAAAATCAAATAATTAACCACTATAGGTCAAACTATCCAAATTATATAATATGCCAAGCTATTAAAATATTTGAATAAGAAAAAAACGATTAAAATGATAACGACACAATAAAAATCACAATGACTATACTACACGAAAATCTAATGCAAAATAAATCTTGCTTTGTATAGGTATATTATAATTTATAATAGTCATAGAGCTTGGTGTCATTTGTATAATATTTAAATATTTAATTTTATTTCAATATATTATGTAGGTATAATAATATCATTGCTATTAAAATTATACATCGAAGATCGAAAATTTTTTTATATCTTATCACTTATATAAGAACAAGTGACAACTCTATATTCGTGAAATTTAAGTAAAAAAAAAAAATGTATATCTATCCAAGTTCAATTATATTAAATTAAAATAATTAAAGTCAGATTTCTACGTTACTGTATGTACTGTATGTTGTATAGAATTGAATACAGTAGTCTAGTTCTGTACTTATAGCCTATAGGTAATATGTTACCAAAAACTTGTTACTTATAACTCATAAGTAGGTGATATATCGGGAGAAATATTGTAGAGTGCAGCTCAAATTACTCATATATTAGAATATTATATGGTTAAAAAATGAATCATTACTTCGCTATATAATTATAATTTTATTGTATAACATACTATATGTATGTTTTTGTAAATAAATAAATAAAAAATAAAAAATAAAAATATCTTAGAAACTGATAAACGTATTGTAACTCACACAGTTACATAAATGTATAAAATCAAAGAAATTCAATAAAAAATATCAGAGATTTTTAATTTTTGTAAATATTAAACAAACATTTTCGAAAGCAAATTTTAGATTTTGAACGGAACAATGAATTTATTGATTTAACACATTATGTTTTTTTTTTAATATCTCATTGCTTTAACTTTATCTTTATGAACAGTTAATATACTTAAATTTTCGACTTCAATATTTATCCAGGTAAAAAAATTAATTAAGCCTTTTGGGGCACAAATGTAAAAAATTCTCGCCACTTTTCTAAATAATTGAAATAAACAAAAAAAACAATTAATAATGATAAATGGGAAATTTTACGCAAAATTGAGTTTCATATTTTGTTGTAATTCATAAATGTATTATCATAAATATTTAAAATTTTCACCAAATGTTAGTATTTAAATTTTCTATACATGGTATAATTTTCAAACTAGTTTGAATCTTTTTTTTAGCTATTATCAAAATTTATAGTAAATATATAAATAATTATTTCGGTTATTTTATTTTGTTTCTATTAATGTTGATAGAAGCTCAAAGCTTTTCAGTCAAAAAGCTTGAAAATTTAAAATAAGGTTCTTCTTAAGTAGTTCTTTCTTAATTTAAAAATCTAATAAATATTATACATGTATAATTATTTTTTTTATAGATATTTTAATTTTTAATTTTTACAGTATTTAATATTTAAACTAAGACTAATGAATTTAAGTAGTTACATTGTTGTAATTCAAAAATATTCTAAAGGACTTTAAATTTTTATGTTTAATATTATGTTTTACTAAACATAATTTTCAATATAGATGTTTAGATTAATTTAATTTTTTTTTTACTTCCCGTTTATAGTTTATGCCGTAGTAGTGTATTACTAATAATAAATTAAATTACTATATTAACTAATAGCAATATAAACTATAAATTTATGAATATATACAGTGGTGTATTGGTAAATAAATTCTATAAGCGATAGAAATGAAGACTTTTTAATTATTCAGTGTTCACCATACGACAAATTTGACATACAAAAATCTCGCCCCCCTTTTGCATTTAATAAATACATTAAATATAGATAAAAAATATTTTATTTTTATTAAACGATTTTTAATTACACGCTTAATTTATAATTTTTATTAAGTTTATTTGAAATAACAATGCATCAAAATATTATCATTGTACTCTATGCTATATAATAAATATAATTTTTATTTGAAACTTATAAATATACTTACTAATTTAATAGTTAAATAAACTTATAATGATATTTCTAAACTAAATTATCTAAAATTTTAAAACAATATACGTTTTTCTGTTAGTTGTGTAGAATTATTTGTTAATGATATATTATAATCACTTAATCTTTGTGTATAGGTACCTATATTTCATTATCAGAGTCTATAGATTCCATAAATGGATCAATATTTTTTCTTCTGTTCTCTTTTAATTTATTCATCATTTCTAATATAACCGACTGAATGTTGGATATACTGAGACATTCTGTATCTTTCATGTTTAATAATTTTTGAATACAATTATCCAAAATCAAGTCTGCTTCATTTGATGGATTGTCTGGTAGCGCCTTTATTACATGAGAATCGTTACACAATTACAATAATATTTTAATAATTACAATCTTATATATACATTTATATATTAACAAAATCGTCGTACGATACTTAAACGTGTCTAAAGTTATCTAAAATAACACTAAAATAGCTTTTCCTCTTTACTTTTTTAAACTAAAGCTGCTCATAACAACAAAGATATTTTAAAAATTGAAAACTTTTGTTGAAATTAAATTTGTAATTTTTTTATATAATTAAAATTAAAGAACCTAGAATAAATCAACAATTAGTAAAATACCTCTGATTTCAAGAATACGAATACACAAAATCTTATTATAAATCAGTTCAATTAGTTCACTATAACTACGACCTATATTTTTCTATCTCCTGTTAAAAACCACCAAGTCATCCAGATAAGTTCGCATTATTTGATGGCAATCATCCCTTCAACAACTAATGCTTTGCTAAGTATAAAAAATAAAATAATGCACACACCAAACGCATACCTCTTTCAGTCTTTCAATACGTCATTCAGTCTAAAATTGTAAATAACTGTCTTTTTTCTTATGTTGTACCTCAATATAAACAGTTAATATGTTTTAATAATAAGAATTTATTGATATTTGATATTGATGTAATAATATGATTTAAGAAGTTGAAATTATAATCCAAAATCAAAATAGATGAGCCTTCTCTTTTATTTTATTTTATTAAATTTTATTGATACGAGATCGATTTTACTCATTTTATCTACTAATATTGCATACAGTTTGTAAAAAAATATTTTTTATAAAATAATTAAAAATGAAGATGGGTAAATAGTGTGAAGTGAAATAGGTACTTAATATAAGTATAATTAACAGATACGACCTAAACGAATATTGTTAATATTAATAACAATAATAATGTTATAAATCACATATAACGCTCAATAACTAAAATATCTCACTCAATATTATTTGAAATTTGAATTTGGTTATCTTATTTGTATTGATGTAGGTACTTTAAATTCTATTATTATAACAAATATTATAATAGTTTTAACTGTTCATATTATATAATTGGGTAGGTACATAACTTATTAAAATTAAATAGATGATTTAATTTTAATATTATATTTTAATTTATAACCTACTATACATAGATACGTAGAATAAATAAGTCAAGTGTATTACATATTAATTTCTTGTTTACGATGTATTAAGTATTTAAATAAATGGACTAATTAAAACTTAATTATATTGAATGCATTAAAGTTACTTTAAACTTACTTTTCTTGTTTGACGTAAACATTTTTCAATTTCTATAGCATTTTCAATTAAATTTTCAGGCATTTTTACATCTCTAGCTAAGATTAGTCCATAGTCATCAATATTTGTTACTCCGGGTCGTAATTTATACGTATAAATTAATCTACTCGTAGAATCCCTCGCGGGTATTGCCTCCATATGATAACTAGAATAATATATATGTATAATAAAATATAAAAACAGTAATTATATTGTTTCAATAAATTAATGTAGAATATGGAGAGGGGGTTATGTTCAAGAAATATCATGATTTTATGAGTAATATCATTACACAAAAATAAACTAGAAATAACTTCCAGTATTTTAGTAATCTATTTAAGTCTTTATCATAAACCAGTCATTGACGAAAACTGAGAAAACAATGAGTTTTCAAAAATTATAAGTATACCTATTGTATAAAACTGGATTTTTATGATGGATGACAATAAATGTGCGTGTATTAAATTTTATTTCAAAATCGTTAAATATGCTACTAAGTCATATGACTTTATAAAGTAAGTTTTCAAAGGTAATGCTTTAGGTCATTGTGAAACTATTTACTAATCCAAACTTTCAAAAAAAGCCGAATACGAGATCTTGGATGAACTTTAACACCGCAAACAGATTATAGTGATTATACTATTGCTCTTGTTCAAGAAAAATATAGTAACAATCGAAGCTTAGCTGTCAGGCATGAAGCCAATAAATTTAGTATACAGCTATTTGATTATTATTATTTCATTTAAACTGACACATCGGGTATGAAAAATGTGTCTAAAATATTAGGGTCAAGGTCGTTAACAGAGGTCCAAATGGAATATCGCATTATGACAAAAAATATAAAACCTATTTTTTTTTTTTTTTTTTTTGAGAAAATATGTTTTCATAAGCTGTAAGACCGTTAGAAGCACTAAGTATTGTATAGAAAACGAAAGAAACTTAAGAAACTATTTGAAAAAAATGTGTTATCTGTAACTTTTTAAACACATCTCATATACAATGGTCATTATTTTTTCTTGCTACAATTATTCATAATTTTATCAATACATTGTATTCAAATCAAACTAAATTTTAAATTTCACATCCCTAAGTTGAATAAATATGAAAATAATATATCTCTATTTAATTACTTTAATATATTGCAGTATAAATCTTGAAGTTTTGTTATAAAAATACTGTGCGTAGCAAAAAATATAAAAGCACAAGATTGCATTATGTCTTCACAAATTGCCCATGCTAAACTTGACCCTTCTTCGCAAGAAGTAGCTCGACATAATTCATCAATAATAACTAAACTATGCTTCGTAAGTGAAGGAAGTATGCCATTTAATTCTTTTATCTAAAAATTACATTTCATGATATCAAATATTAATAGAAAATATGTCTAAAATTCTAAGTAATACATCGCATTTCCATGTTAAATTTATTTCACAGAATTATAAAATTATTAATGTCTATCGAGATAGCAAAATATAATACAATAATGTTATTTTAATGGATGACATCGCTTATTTTTTAAGGTATCTCTACATTCTCATTTTAATAATTGAACAGTATAATTTATTATAACATGAATAACCAATAATAAATTGATTATGGTTTCCTTTTAATTTGTTTAAGTATTCAAAATAATTATAATGAATGAGACAATAACTTAAATTAATGCTAGAATCACTCTGTGGTATAAATTATTTATATAAAAAACTTAACGTTTTCGTAAAAAATTTTATTAGTGAACAAAATGTTGAGTTTTATTTTATGGTATTAATTTTTGTAAAGTGTTATATATGAATATGTTATACACAATTTATTTAATAAAATTAACGATTCAGCAATAATTATTTTCTATAACAAAATTAACTGCCGTAAATTATTATTACAAAAAGGTAAAGATATATATTTATTTTAATATGTAATTAATTATCAGTTATCAAGATAAAATAACATAATATATTATTACTGCAACCTTAAAAACTTTTAATTATAGAGCACTATGGTCGGCGTTGCCCGAATTGCACAAACAATTACTAAACAATGAATAATAAAAAAAAATTAATAATAATAATAATGAACCAATTATAGTAAAAAAATGCCTAATAGTCCCTTAAATATAATTTAGTGGTTTATGATAACGCTATCACATTGTATTGAACCATTAAAGAAATCAATTTTTTATATAGCCCAGTTTATAAGAACTTAAACGTGATATCTTTTAATTAATAATTAATAATATTTATAGCATAATTTAACTAGACAATAAATCAGTTATCACAGATAAAAGAATACTGATACTAGGTCCTCATGTCATTAAACAAACATAAATATATAATATTATAAAAATTATACACTAGTACATCTACAAATTACATTATAATTATACTAAATTTTCAAAATTGTTAATTATTAAATGCATTTCTAATTCATAGGAAAAAAACATGTATTCAAGTTATATATGTTATTAATAAATGATAAGTTCTTTTTATTACGAATAAATTTTATTTTATCCTTACGGCTTACTTACATATTGGTGCAAGTACATTGGTAGTTCTAGTCAAAATATTTTAATTTTAATTTGATATTCAACATAAAACTGATCCGAATTGATATTTTAAAAACATAAATGAGTGTTTTAATAATTATTTTTTAAAAAATATAAAAATATAGATCATTCAAATAATATGATTAAAAGAATACAAAATATTCTTCATTTTAAAATTTTAATGCTATAAGTTTTAATACGTATATTCCAATTTTAAATTAGTAATGTTTATTTACCAATCTTTATACAAGTCATGTTTTAACCGTTTTGCTGTGGTAAATAGTGGGACATCTATCTAATATTAGTATATATCAGTGGCATTAACAGAGTGAATGATCTTAATTAAACCTAAGTATTAACTAGTACTTGCCTACATTTAATAAAGATTTTTAAGTATTTACTATTTAGTGATAACAATAACTACTGTTATTACTTATTATTAGATATACATTTAACATAAACACAAACATAGATTATAAATATATGAGATAAGTAAAAATATTAAAGTTGTATTAAGCAGAGTAAGTAGGAATACAAATTAAGCAAGATGAGCAACACAACTAATTAATAATTACACAAAAATGTGTATATTTTATACTGTTTAAATACAGGGTTACTAGTTTATTACATTAAATTCGTGTTATATTGTATTCCCTTAGGCAAAAAAATTAATGCATTCAATTTTACATAAAAATATACAGTAAATATTAAGCACAATACCTCTAAAACCCAAGTAGACGCATTCAATTCTATGCTGTCTCCAAAACCAATTCTCGTAAACAATCGATCACAAATACGAAACTGAGCAAATGTTGCAGGTACAAAACATCCGATCTAAAATTTAAAATTTTGATAAAACAAATTATTTAAATCCTTAAGTATACCTATTTTGTTTGAACTTACTTGAGCAATAATTTGTAATAATGCCACTTGACGTATATAAATACTTTTTCCACCCATATTAGGCCCAGTGATGATATTTAAATTTTTATCAGTTGAAGCAAACTGAAATCATAAATAATATCTAATTTAAATAATAAATCATCGACAATTAAAGAGTGATATTTCGAACGTCAATCCTAGTTTTTTTTTTCCTATAAAAATAAAATATTTCAAAAAAATATTCTACTCGTATACTTTGTTTAGTATAAAAATATTAAGATTTCAATCTTTAATTATTGATTTTTTTTATTTAACTCTATGTATTTTTTGCAGTAGTTTATTGAATAATTGTTGAAACCCACAGATATTTATATATATATATATATATATAATACATATTATCTATGGTTGAAACTTACAATATCGTTATCAATTGGTACAACTGAATTAATAATATCTAATATTGGATGTCTAGAACTTTTGATATCCATGTATTGTCCAAATTTGGGTCTAATTGATCCTGATCGCATACTATATTGTGCGAATGAAAATATCAAATCTAAATCGGCAATGCCATTACACAGATCGTATATACAACTAATATATTTTCTTAGCTCTTTTAACATTTCATTTAATATTCTAAGTAAAATAAATATTTTTAAATTAAAATTCGATTAACATTTTTAATATTAACGTTTAAAGTTGTAAGTTCATTTAACTTACGCATTAGTCAATATTTCTACTTCATTTAACGCTTGAGTAATACGAATATTTAGTACAATTAAATCTTCTGTAGTAAATTTTACAATATTTTTTACGCATTCAACCTACACAAATTTAATTTTTTAGTATATAGGCATACATGAAAGACAATTGCTAGGTAGGTACACATAATTTAATAGTAGTATTTAATTATTCTTACTTATTTTTGTATTAAAATTATTTATTTATTTATCAGAATATTAGCAATTAGCTTACATTTTTACAAATACTCGGAAGATGTTTGACATTGAAATTTTTAATATTCTTTAGTTCGACCTGAACATGAAAACCTCTTTTATATGAATTTTGTGGAAGCAAATGTTCTGTATCTAATTGTTCACCTAAAACTTTTACTTTATCTAAAACAGTAAATTGTATGTAAAGTGTAAACCAACAATATCTAAATAATATATACAATATTTAGTTGATTATATCGTATATACAGCAATTGCGCATTGGAAGTAATCGAGAAGAGGGTTCGAGAGCTAAGTCATTCTCAAAAAAAAACTTTCAAACCTCTTAAAAAAATAATTGAAATATTATCCATAATATCTACATAAAATTAGGTATTATACAGATAATATTCTTAATAAATTAGGTTGATTAAAAAAAAAATTCCCATTATCAATAAACGACTTACGTGGACGTTCAATAGTAATCATTAATTAATAGCCAATATTTAAAATCAACTAAGAAAACCAATCTAATCGCTTCTGTTGCATTTTAATTAAAAGGATTATATTCAATGATAAATCATTGCTAACAAAAAATCAATTCTGGTTGAAGGGAGTAAGACAATTTTAATTTAAAATGCTTATCAGATAAAATTGTACAAATATCTTTTTTAATATTTTTAAATCAAAATTTTTAATTGGAAAATCTTGCTTAATATTAGTTTATATACTTAAAAAATACTTTGTATATATAAAATCTTAATAAATAAGTAATTTTAGAAAAATTTAAGTCTTTTATATTATTTTAATTACAAGTTAAGTGTAATTTATCTTGAAACTACCTATCTTGCTTATAAATCAAAAAATATAAAAATATATAAACACAATTATTTGAAGTCAAAATTCGGCTGTAATTAGTTGTTTAAATTAAAAATAATGATTTTAGTTATTTTTTTTAAAGTAATTTAAAAATATTTTTAGTGAGGATTTGGAAGTTTTATGCATATTATTAATTATCATACTTTATATTCACAATGACATATTTACATTTATCATTAATTGAATTAAAGCAACTAATGTCCTTAGATTTACTCCCTGCCACCCTCCACCCTATTTGTAGCCAATAATTATTACAGATTTCAATCTTTATATGTATAAAGCTATACATGTACCATGAAATTCTTCTATCAATTCACTATAAATTGTACGAGCAACATCTAGTAAGGGATTCAAATTAGATTTAATAGCAAAACATCTTTGAAACTGAGATTGTGAAAATCCTTTTGATCTAGTAGATTCTTTATTAATAGTTATCTCAATTATTTCTAACATTTTTGAATATCCAGAATTTGATAAGGTCTAAAAAAGTGAAAATAATATTCGTTATAAAATACATTTGTCTTCATATAATTTAAATACAAACAAACCTTTCGTATAGAGGAAATGTATTCAGATTTGAATGGTTCTAAAATATCCACAAGTGCTGGCAATGCTTCTAATGTAGTTTTTAATAACAATGTATAATTTCCTTGTAATTTAGATAACTGTTGAGTATTTTTAGAAACTTTTGTACATAACCAATACAAGTGTTCCACGTCAGAGAATTTTTGGATTACGTTCTAAAATAAAAATGTCATAATATCATAATAATTATATATAGCTTACTTGCATATAAATTGTTTTTAATTATATCATAAATAAAAATGGATTAATGAACATAATAAACTAATAATTATTAATTGATAATTAATTACTCTAAGTAAAATAAAATTTTGTTCTGGGCTACTTAAAATTTCTTCTACAGCTTCTTGGCGATTATGTATCAACTGAATATCGCTTGAGGGTTGCAGGATAGAAGATCGGAGTCTTCTCTGACCTCCAATAGTAGCGCAACGGTTTAAGACATCAAATAATGTATTTCTGATATTTAATGAATTGTTTAATACTAATTCTAATCTTGACGCTGTATTTACATCTATGTGAAACAAAATATTTATATTATGTACACTGTTCTATGATATTTCTAGAATCTACTAAACAATTCACATATCAGTATGATAAGAAATTCCAAATTCTTAACAGTAATATAGAAAATGGAAGGTACATATTAAAGCTCCTCTACACAGAGATTCTTTCTTTTTTAATTTGTTAATTAATAAATTTAAAGTGTAATAGTACTGTAAATGCATACAATTCTTTCTATATTACAAGCATAAGTACATGATTAAATATTATGAATATTATTACTAGGAAACTCGATGTTACTCAACCGATCATCATATTTGTATAATGTATACATGGGAGCCCATTAATTCAATTTAAATAAAGTCTCAAAATATGAACTAATTAAAGTTTAATTTTGCGTATACCCTCAACCTCCCCCCAAAAATGCAGACAAAGCCCTCCACGATTCAGTACATGTCTACCCCTAGAAGAGCCCTAAAAAAAAAAACTGTTGACTACCCTACGCCTATGAATATAACTATATGCATATATATACTATTTATAACTATATATTATATATATATATATATGTATTATTAAATTATTTCTAATCCCTGTAGTGATAAAGAAAAAAATAATTTATATGCCCTTTAGGTAATAAGATAATATCTATAATGATAACACTTATTATAAAATCATATTATTTTTTCGGGGAGGGGGTGGGGTGGCGTTTTACCTCCCCCCCTCAACAGACGCCTATGAATACATAAATATAGTTTTAAAAATCCGGTAAAATTATATATAATTTATTGCATTTCTAATAAAAATAATTACATTTTTTCAGTTTTAATTTGAAATTGAATCTTTAAAATACCTACACGTTATGAATAAAAAATTATAATCTATTGACATTTTGAAAAAAATCCTATTTTTACTATTTTAAGTTTTTATTTTTTAAATGATATATATCTTTATAATACTCCAAAGAAAAATATTTTATTGAGAATTATTCTACATTAAATAAAAATCAAATTTTTAATAAGTTATATTGTTATAACTTATACCTACTCTTATTAAACATAAAGTTTTAATGAAATGGAGTAATCTTAATGGACCAACATTACTTGAAGTAGGTACCTTTACTCGATTAAATAACCTAATAATTTGAAATTTGTCATAATTTACAAAAAATATTTTGCTTCGAAGTATGAAGTTGTAAATGCATGTTTCCATTAAAAAAGTAATAAATTAAAAATGATAGTGATAAAAAATATAATACGTAATATACATATTTTTTCAAAGTGTCTTCGTACATGAACTTAAATTATGCAAAAAAAAAAAAAAAATGTTTTTTAGGAAATATCATTACTTTTTGAAATAAAGATTGTATAATATATTAAAATAATCCTCCAATATAGGATTAGTATAGAAAAAAGATTTAGCTGCTGTAAAAATTCAAATGAAATAATTCTGATTCCTCTATGAAGTTGAAAAGTTTTGATAGATACGAGTTAAATTTTCAAAACTATGTAAACCTTATCAACTAGTACATTACATAAAAATTACTGCAGGGATGAAATAAAACCCTAGAACTAATGATGTATTGTGCAAATTTTATACAAAGCTTAAAGTAAGCCACAATTATGGCTATCGCCTAAATTATAAGTGATTTTTTTTATTAATTGATATTAATCAATAATTTTTTTTTAAGCTGGAAATTTTCATTACTTTTTATTTGCACAATTATATAAAATATTATAAAAAAATAAAATATAATTATTTCATGAAAAAAAAAATATATGTAGTCAGACTTTTTATCTGTATCAATATTATTATGAAAAATACAAAAACTTTGAAACATCTATAAATGTATAATAGATATGACGCTCAAAGTCCAAAGGTATAAGTTGTACAACAAAATAAATTAATACAATTATTTACCAATAAACATTGATTTTTCAACTCCTTCATACTCTATTCGCAGTGTATTTGAAGAAAAAACCACATTATGGTTAAATTCGATATGTTTTAATAATGCTGCCGCAGCGGAAATCGCGTAAAATCTATAAAAAGAAAAAATATATAATTATAGTTAAACACTCTCACTGGCGAAATATGAACACCAAACTAAATAAAATTAAAAACAATATCAACGTATGGCAAAATCCCGAAATTATTAGTAAAGAACCATCATTAATAGACTCCTGAATTGATCACATACATCTAAGTTTCTAACACACAACTTCTTGATGAGTCACTATTAACTGCTTCTATGCGTCACGTGTAGTGTCTTTCTAACGATTAACCACATCATCATTAAATGTTAAAAAGACAAACATTATCGTAACCAATTTCACATCGAAAAGATAATAAAATTATATTTATAAATTTGTAGATTTGTAATAAAAAATATTTCTCACTTTGGTAACACTTGTTCTAATGTAGAAGTACATTCTGGTATAATACTATTTTTTAGGTATAGTTTACCTTCATTTTCAGAAAAATGTTTTCGAGAAGCAGTAAGTATAGCGCTTAATGGAAACTGGTTTTTAATGGTATTGTACAGCAATGTACCTTGTATCTGATCCATAAATGTATTTGGGACTAAAATCTTTCAAAAACATCAATATAAATAACACTATGTATTTATTTAATTAACTAATTATAACTGTTAAAAAAAAATACCTCTGCGGGATTTAGAATACTTATTTTATTAATTGTATTCATATACGTTTGAGTATCACTAATTTGGCATAAGATCAATACTGGTCTTTTTAAATCAATTGCTGCTAATCCGATTTCACCTTGAGCGGAACCTCTGCCCTCAGTTAAAACTACAAACATTTTGAAAATACTTTTTATCTTACAACTACTTTTTTACTTTCTACTCATATACTAAGCTAATTCTATAATGCGTTTTACCTAATACAACACTGTTAATAATTTCACCTTTACTATCGGGTTTTTTTGCAAGTGGTGGATTACGGGTTTTTTTACGCAATAGAGATGAAGACGCTGAAATACTAAAAATTATAATGATAACCATTTCAAAAACTAGTTTTCATAATAAAATATTATAATTTATAAAAGATGTTCTCAATATTATATAAAATTATTTAATTATTAAATGCAAATAAATTACAAAAAATTAGCTAATAATTATCGTAAGTAATTTGTAAGTTTCACTATCCACAAACATATGTAAGTTCCCCGTTCTTTTTTTTTTTATCATACTAGAAAATTATTTGCAAATTTAAAAAAAATAATTTACGAATGTTTGCAAGATAAACTATGAATTTTTTTAACAAATTGGTTTTAATTTATAATCATGCTGGGCTGTTGGGGTCTTAGTGTACTTACATAGTGAAAACAGATAATCCACATTCAAAAACAAATTTTTACATCACCTGTAGGACGGTGTCGTTGTAAATGATTTAGGTTTAATAAATTGACGGGGAGTGCTATTGATAACAAAATCTTCAAATTTTTGATTGACATCATATTTTGGTACGTTATCAATATAGTGATCGGCCGCCATATTCGGAATATCAAAACTTTCACCTTGGGATATTCGTCTTGGTGTTGATGACGACTTAGTACATTCAATATCCAAAGTTTCTGTAGATGATCCATCATCAGTTACTCCTAAATATTTGCCAGGCGTCATTAAATCAGACCTACTCATCGAACGAGAATGCACTACACTGCTATCGGTAATCAAATTTGTTGATTGGTGATTCGTATTATTTGTCAATTGTTTAGGAAATAAACATGTTTTAGAACGTGACACGGTATATTGACCAAATCTTTCTGTTAGAATAGAAACAAAGAAAAAATTGTATCACTGCTGTTTAATGTTTAGTGTATAAATGTTGTACAAAAATAAAATAAAATCTTAGTAATAAAAGTATTATAATATATTATATATATTATGTTGAATGATGAATGCAGCAATGAATTCATATAAGGGCATATATTAATATATACATAAAAATATGTAATGTGCATTAAGTATACAAGTCTCAGGTGTAAAAAAAATATATCTTAATCAATTTTCAAAACTGTTAATTATTTGGTAATTTTTTGTTATTCCACTATACCTGATATGAAAAACAATAGATATAAATATATCATGTTATAATGCATGTAAAATATAATTTAACTTTTAAATTTGAATGTATTATACTAGTAATAAATATAGCTTAAATTGTGTAGATCACTACGAATTATTTGTTTAGCGAATACAACACATTAAATCTACAAAGAATATAATTATGTATATGACATGGTATTTACTTATTTGAAAATCATTCTCCGTAGTTTTTCGATAAGCGCCTCTTTTATTCTTATTCACCACCACGTTCATGTTTAATGTTTATTTTCACCTATTAATAAATTAAGTATTATTTAGTATACTACAATATTGTAGATATTGAACTATGTTATAGTGATAATAACTATTATTTCAGTTTTTCTTAGGGAAGAGGGGATTTTCATTGACTCGTTATTTGTTTGATTAAAATAATAAATGTGTTACTAAAACAAAGCCGATTTCTACATCGTTAAAGTTATAACTAGACAAATATTTTCAAAATACTAAGATACAAAAATGTAGCAATACAATTAAACAAATTTTATAATTCAATATTCATAGACCTTTACTTATTGGACTTGAAAGTCAGTTCAGTTAAAATGAATATAAAACAAATAATTTAACTAATTTTCATTTTATATATATAAATCCTATGTGGCGCTTTTGATATCTAATGCCAATTCAGACATCACCTTTCAAATTCTATATTTTTATTTTTGTAAAAACTGTTTTGAAATTTATTTACTTTAGTCAATCATTAGTTATTATTGGTATTACATATTACCATTGTATTGTGTAAATATTATTTTTATTTTTTAGTCAAAGTTTTTTTTTGCAATTAAATGTAAATGTTTATTAAAAAAAATAATAATACAAATGATTTTGAAAAATTATTTTACGTAAATATCCACATCCTGGTGGATGATATTATTTAATGTAAAATATACTGTCGATGGTAACCTACAAAACAAACTTGATTAATATCATTGATATACAATATGTAATCAATAAATATTTATAAATATAATTGTTTTTCATTCTCCTTTTTTTAAAACACTCAATACATTTGATATTACAACAGTTCAAATCAGTTTTATTGTTTTCATAAAATTGTCAAACATATCTAAATTATCTTACATAACTAACTTGTTATTCGCATAGGCGCAACAAAAGTAAAAATTCTGAAGAGGGTATTATAGCCCCAAACAAATTTATTTGCTTCCATTTGAAATTTTATATTATATTATTTATTTATAATCAAAAAATAAATACAAATAAATAATAATTGTTATTTTATTCATTCTATGTATTCATCGGCTTAAGTAATTATTAATTGTCAAATATATTATTTACACAAAATAAATTAAAGTCACAAGTCAAAAAAACTGGAGTTATAACTGGGTTATATTTTGGCAAACTGGTGAACAATTTTTTTAGATAACATGAACAACATAAACAATAGCAGTGTTTAGCGTGATATTTATTCCAAAATAATACTAAATAAACTTTATATAAATACATAATACAATTATTAAATTACAAACATTTAACATTTAGTATTTTACATTATATAGCTTGTGTAAACTCCAAATTACTCATGTTCGAGTTAAAAGTCAAGAGAATGAAGTCAAAGAATATCTTTCATTTTAAAATATTATCATGAAAATCTGTTATATTTTTATGACAAAGTATATTTATTTTATTGTACGTAGGTATTTATAATGTACATTGTAAATTAAAAAATAACTTTGAACTTTCATAATTTTATTTAATTATTGAATATATAATATGTATAGCATAGGTAGCTATAATTGGACACCTTAATTTAGCTTCCATAAATATACCATGCAATACGATGTCTACACCACAATGATAGTTAATTGTAAAACATACAAAAATAGACTTACCTACCTTAAACAACAACAAAATATATCAATATATATTCCGTTTGTCTTTTAACTTGTAAAAATAATAAACCAATATTTAGGCAACTAGTTTCTAGTGTTTCTACTAATAATTTACTGAATGTCTGAATGACAAACACATTTTTATTTAACCGTGAAATTTCAAGTGATGTGATTGGTATGACAAAATAATTTTTTATTAACTGCTAAATTACCGCGAAACTACATGTTATATTTTATTCCATGAAAAATTATATTATCATTACTCATTAGTTATCAAAACATCCATGAACATTAATTTACCACAGAATCTGTGATTTTACAACCGTGATAATATGATAACATATTAATACTGATTAAAATAATTGAATTTTTTGTATTATTTAAATTAATTTAATAGGTACTAAGATAACATTAAATTAATATGTTAAATAATAAATAGTAAATATTTTGATTTTACGAATTATCATAAACAATAATCATATTTCATTTTAAATGAAATTATTTATTGGTTTCATGATTTACACGTAACATGTCATATGACGTGTATTTTATAATTTTGAATTGCTACTTGCTAGGATAATATTTAATTAATGTATTTAGTCATATTGTAATAATGGAAACCCTTTATTTAATATGTATTAATGTTATACTTAGTTTATGTGCCTTTTTTTGTACTTACAACATTATACCACATTTAAAATCTATGTTTATTGGTGCCAATTTATATGGAAAAGATTTAAATAAAAAATCAGAAAATAAAATGTGAGTTAAAAATTGTAAATTGTAATATTAACTTTTACTTGTTTTAAATTCTTTGTTTTTATAAAAAAAAATAAATAATTTTTATACATATTTTCAATAATATTTCAATAACTTAATATTATTTTGATTTAGACCTGAAGCTTTTGGTGTAGTGACAGGATGTACATTTCTAATCACAATTTTTCTATTGATACCGCTCATATTTGGCCGGCATATGTTGCAAAATGATACTACTTTATTTCCACATAGTGAAGTAAATATTTTATATTTTATTATAAATAAATTTTCTAGTATTAGATTTTTAAAATAACGACAGTTTTATACTTAAACAGTTAAAAATCCTTTAAAAATATATTTCAATATTTTAGGGTTTATTCAAAAAATTGTTTTAGGTGAGATGAGATATTATGTAGGTATCTTATTTATTTATTATTTTTAAATTAAAATACTTAAATTGTATCTTGAAATAATATTTTTAATAATTCAAGAAATCAGTTGTTTGTTTATTTTTTTTCAGTTTGTAGAAATGTTAGCTGCTTTGTTGTCAATTTGCTGTATGCTTTTATTGGGATTTGCAGATGATGTTTTGAACCTACGATGGCGACATAAACTATTATTACCCACTATTGCTTCTTTACCTTTGCTTGTTGTATATTACATAAATTTTAACTCTACTACAATTATTGTACCTAAACCTTTCAGAGATATTTTTGGAGTATCTGTGAACTTAGGTAAGTCTTACATTTTAAGTTAAATATATTTGTTGGTAATATTACTTACTTGTTTATGATTTTTACAGGTTTACTTTACTATGTGTACATGGGTATGCTAGCTGTATTTTGTACAAACGCTATTAATATATTAGCTGGAATAAATGGTTTGGAAACTGGACAAAGTTTAATTATTGCAATTTCTATTTTAATTTTTAATGTAATTGAACTATCTGGAGATTGTGCTCAAGCACATTTATTTTCGTTGCATTTTTTAATACCATTTATATCTGTCACTTTTGCTTTATTAAAATTTAATTGGCAAGTAAACTATTAGTTATTAAAACTATTTCAATAATTTCATAATCAAAAATGTATTGATGTTTCAGGTATCCTTCTGAAGTATTTGTTGGCGATACCTATTGTTATTTTGCTGGTATGACTTTTGCAGTAGTTGGAATTCTTGGTCATTTTAGCAAAACTATGTTATTGTTTTTCTTACCACAAATATTCAATTTTTTGTACTCAACTCCCCAGTTATTCCATTTTATAAACTGTCCAAGGCATCGTATTCCGAGGTAAGCAATGAAAAATTATAATATACGGTGCAGCAAAAAAACTTCCTAGTAAAACTTATAAAAACCAAACCAAGTCAAATATCAAAAAAAAATATTTTATTTATACATTGTGTAAACAATATACAACAAATATATACTTCATTATATAATGTCACTTTATATCAATTAGTTTTATAAATTATATCACTTCAGTCACACATCTTATTTTTTTGATACACTAATTGAAACTATCTCAGTAGTTAAGTAAGGCCCCAGGAAACACTTCTTGTAGAATTCCTATTGAATTATGAGCTGTGTGTAATGAATACTAACATACTAACAATATCAATAAAACTTTCAATGAATGTAAAAACTACTACTTCATCAAAGGAGTTTTTTTGCAGCATTCTGTATAATGTATTCATTACAGCATTAGACATTAATAAATTAAATAGATAACTATATTATATAAAGATTGGACAAATATGGAACACTATCACCAAGTTATGCAGAGTGTAATCAAAATAATATTTCAACCATCGGGAAAATGTGTTTGAAATTATTTTCGATTTTTAAAATCATTCATATTGAAGAGAAATCTGAAGGAAATATTAAATGCAATAATCTAACACTTATAAATCTATGTCTACTTAAAATAGGACCAACTAATGAAAAAACATTGACTATAATATTGTTAATTGTTCAAGTAAGTTTTAATATGACAATACTATACACATTTATTAAATATATTTTTATTTTTTCAGTTTGTTTGCAGTTTATTTGCATTTATTATACGTTATCCGTTGGCATCATTTTTTTATGATGTATAACCAGTTGTTTACATTATATTTTCCTGTATAAAACCTCTAATTTGAGTTTTAAGATATTTTTGTAAACGTGAACAAAATAAAAAAAAAAATAAATTGTTACTATTTATTTATTATGAGAAAATGTCATTTAATCATAAATTGTTCCTATGATTAAACAATTATAATGTTTAAACTTTTACAAAGCTAAATTGACTTAGTAAGTCACTATAAAAATTTATACAATCAGTTGAAGGCAATAATAATTAATTCATAATAAAGTGATTAAAAATGATTTGGCCTATAAAATATTGACAAATAACTCGTTTTACATACTAATCATATAAATGTAATATTTTCAGAAAACAGTCCTCTGGGACTTGTAGGAAAAATTAATCCAAGGTTTTTTATTTAATTTACTGCCATTCAAATTATTATTTATTTTATGTAATAATAATTATTTCATTTTAACTTCACATAATTAAGGGGGTAATGGTGATGCGTTAAGTCTTCTATTTAAGGATATTAAGTACTTTTCTTGTTGAGTTCATTGTTTCTTCTTTTTTTTTTTTGTGTTTTGCAAAACTAAATTAACATGATAAATTACTAATTTAACAAAAAGATACAATATATAAACACAATTAAAAGAATGATATACAACATTTAACTATAAGGCTTAGAATAATAAATAATTTAATAAAATTCATAGACAAATAAATAATTAAAGTGCATTATTGATGTGAAAATAATATTTGTTTATATAAATTCTTTTATAGTCTTACTATAACGTCTACCTTTGGATCAATATTTTGATTTTTATGAATGTTGGAAAATAATTTATGAGAGTCCTCCAAATTTGTCTAACATAAGTTCTTCAGTCTAATACTTTCTTTATATAACTTTATACGAGCAGCTAAATTATTAATTTTAATATCTGTACGCATTATTTTTTTCTCTAAAAATTCCATTATTTCAAATCCCTCCATTATTTTTTTTTCAAGTTCTAACATTGAAGGAGGAGTGGTGAAGCGTAATTTAGATTCTTTTTTAGCACTTTTAAAAGTCCAACGTCTTTTTGGAGTAAGACATAATGGTTCATCTTGAACTGATGTAGAGAACTCTGTAGTAGTTAATTGACTTGAAGTGGGTTCACAAATTTCTGAGCGATATATTTTGGTTGGTGTTTGAATAACAGTAATGTTGAATATTGATGGTACAGCATCATCACGCAATAACAATTTATAGGTACCATCAACTGGAGTTTTAAAATCACTTTTCAAAAAATGATTGTTACACAATCGTGAATTTTTTGTTGGAATAAAACCTTTTCGTCCAACAGCTTTTATCCACTTAGCATTGAGCTCAGGATTTTGTAATGGAAATCTGTAAAAGAGCAGTTGTCTGTGATTATTTATTTATTTATTAGATTAAACGGGCGAACCCAGTTATAATTTAAATGTGGAACAAAAATAGAATTATTTACATAAATGAGGATTGTTGTATACAATAAATTAATTGATTAAATTACTAAGATACAAATTAAAAGAAACAATAGAATTACAAATAAACATATCAATATTATAATTATTTACATGTTGCATGGATCTAATTAAAGGCGCGTTTTTACCATATGAAGTACGCTGGAATAGCACATAAAAGGTATCAATTTGTCTAGTCGTATGGCCAGAAACTAAAAAAGAAATATTTGACAATAGTTCTGGACAGTTAACACAACCATTTAAAAGTTTATATATAAAACAAATGTCATGTTTAACCCTTCTGACCTGAAGAGTATCAATGTTTAAATATGATAATAATGGTTTATACGAAGTGTGAGGCAAACGTTGAATATTACATTTATCACTTATAATTCTCAAAAATCGATTTTGAATCGCCTCTAGTGAATGAATTGGACCAGATGTGTAAGGAGACCAAATTATTGAATTAAAATCAAAAATTGACCTAACAAAGGCGCAGTATAGTGATTTGAGAGCTATAGGATTATCAAAATGATTACAGCTCCGCATTATAAACCCTAGAATTGAGGATGCTCTGTTTTGAATTTGGATATAATGGTCATTGAATGAAAGAGAAGTTTAAATATACACCCAAATCTTTCACAAGGTTGACTCGATCTAATTCAATGCCCTTAAAAAAATACTTGTTTAATAAGGACGAACGCTTTTTAGTGAAATTAATAACTTTACATTTGGAAACATTCATGTACAATTTGTTTGTATCACACCAATCACTCACGTTATCAAGATCATTCTGAAGCAATTTAGTATTAAGTGCAGTTTTAATAATACGGAATAATTTAACATCGTCAGCAAAGAACAATATATTGGAATTGATATCCTTATATGTCATTAATATAAATATTAAAAAAAAGAGGAGCCAAATGAGAACCTTGAGGAACTCCAGAGGTAATATTATACATATATGAATTATAATTTTTAAATTTCACGTACTACTTCCGACCTGATAAAAAGGATACAAGCCATGAAAAGAGAGGATCACGGAGACCTGATTGGAACAATTTTTTGGCTAGTATACTATGATCAACTTTATCAAAGGCTTTTGCAAAGTCGGTGAATATTACATCCACCTGACAGTTTAATTTAAATGCATTTAGGATAAATTGTTGCAAAACCAAAAGATTTGATGTAATGGATCTACTAGACATAAAGCCATGCTGCTCATCAATTATAAAATTTTTAAAAAGGGGACTAATTTTCCTATTAACAATACCTTCAAATATTTTTGGAATTATAGATATTATAGAGACAGGTCGATAATTAATTATATGGTTTATAACTCCGCTTTTAAAAACAGGGGAGACGTACGATATTTTCCATTTATCTGGAAAGATTCCAATGGAAAGAGAACGATTGAATAATATTAGTAAGGGTGTTGACAAAACAAATTTACACTGCATAAAAAATATATTGGATATTTTGTCAGGACCGGGACAAGTTTTATAAGTTATGTCATTGAGTACATTATAAACATCGCTGAGAGTCAGTGTACATGAATTAAAATCAACCGATGGATAACTATTATTGTAAGAATCCGAAATAATTAGTGAGTCTGATGGTATACTTAAAACATGGGAAAAATAATATGCGAAACCGTTTGTAATATAATCACCACCGGAAATAGTGTTACTATTGTAATACATGGAATTCGGAAAAGATTGAGTTGAACGTTTGCTATTTACATATTGCCAAAAAAATTTAGGATTTTTAGTAATGGAGTTTTGAGTTTTTGGATATACATATTATAATCTATTTTATGAGGAATTTTTTTTATCAAAAATTAACTTCTTTAATGAATGGCTGAACCATGGCCAGGATAAACATTGCCAGCTTCGCATAATGGCGGATTTGCTTCAATATTAAGATCGAGTCGGCTATCAGTTGTTTTATATATCTGTGGGTATATCTTAAATCGTTATCATAGGGTAAATAAAATCCCGCTAAAATATTTAAAATAATATGCTTGAGAAATAAAAACCAGAATGAGCTTGTTGCGCTCATCAATTCTATTTCGTACATTACATTTGGTTACACTGTAAAGTATAAACAAACCCGGCGTCTCGTATCTAAGTGTCATCCTACTGGTTTCTGTCCTATCGGCTATCACCTCATCGATGATCATCAATATTATTTATTAGTATTTTAGTAATATAATATAGTTATTAAGTGCTTATTAATAATTACTATTTTAATTAATTTCATCTAATTATTTTCACGGTATGAGACTACATTATTTCAATTCAAATTCAGTATAATATATTTAAATTTTTATAGAAATAATTTATTATTGAAAATTAGTGTTGTACAATATTCATACTAAAATTAAACATGAATAGCGGCATGCTATATGGTGGAGACGAAATCGGGGCTTTGGTGTTCGACTTGGGATCACAGTCGTTTCGTATCGGTTATGCCCAAGAAGATACACCAAAAGCAGAAATACCAGCAGTGGTTGGTGTCTCGAGCGATGGAACAGCAGACACTAGTATGTTAGAACCTGGCGCTAAACAAGGCAATCGCATCAATGAAAACACGAAACATTTCATCGACATTAACTCATTATGTGTCCCTCGAAAAGGTACTTGACAATAATACCTATAAATACCTTCATATTATAAATTATAAGACTTTAATTCTTATTAGGTATGGAAGTAGTAAGCTATATGAAAGATGGTATGATCGACGATTGGGATTTGTTTGAAAAAATATTGGATTATTCTTACTCAAAGTGCTTACAAACAGAATCACAATATCATCCAGTATTATTTACTGAGTCTCCATTAAATATTAGATCTAAAAGAGAAAAATTGGTTGAGTTAATGTTTGAAAAGTATAATGTGCCAGCTACTTTTCTGGGCAAAAATGCTGTATTAGCTGCATTCTCTTGTGGTCGTTCTACTGGTATTGTGGTAGACAGCGGAGCAACTCACACTTCAGCCATTCCTGTTCATGATGGTTATGTTATACCAAGTGCTATTGTTAAATCTCCATTAGGTGGAGACTTCATTAGTATGCAATGTAGACAGTTCCTTAAAGTAAGTAGTATTATTTAACTAAATATTTGTTTAGTTTTTTTAAAATATTTTTTGATTTTCTCTTATAGGAGAATGACATTGAAGTGGTTCCACATTATATGGTAGCACAGAAAGAACAAGTAAAAGAAAAAGAAAAGCCAGTGTGGACAAAGAAACATACACTTCCTGAAGTAACAACTTCATGGCATAATTATATGTGTAAAGCAGTTATTCAGGACTTAAAGCATTCTATATTGCAAGTATCTGAAAGTCCATATGATGAGAGAATAATATCAGCTCTTCCAACTTCTCATTTTGAGTTTCCTAATGGCTATAATCAGGTAATAATTTATAAGTTATTCATGGAACTTAAAAATTGATATCTTTTTCAGTTTATTTTGATCTTGAACCTCTTAGGTGATTGATAATACCATGGTTATATTAAATATTGAAAAATGATAAAATAATGAAATTGAAAATGTGTTAAAATTGTCTATGTTAAACCTATTAAATATCATGTGCATGGTGTCTTTTCAAAACACTAATATTTTGAAGTTATTAATTTAAATTGATACAAAAAGGCTATAGCCTTTTATAATCCTATTATTATTATTTTTTTAATTTACTGAATTGGACTCATTTATTTAATTAGTTAATACTACACAGCAATTACAAAAGTTGATAGTATTTATAAGTATATTTTTATATAGTTAATATAAGTGAATGCACAGTAGATATTTGATGTTTCAGTAGGTATTATGTATTTATATGATATGCTATTTAAGTGATATTTAAGTAATCATTGGTAAAAATGTTCAATGTTGTGTAAACAATTGTATTCAAAAAAATTAATAAATGTCCTTTTAAAATAAACAACTGTGCATTCATGTAATATTCTAAAAATAATTTAATATGATAAAATTATAATTTATTAATTTAAAAATAACATGTATGTATAATAATAAACTTTAAATTGTCATGTACAATAATTTTTTTTTACTAGATATTTTCAAATATTTTACGTGATTCTTTTATTATAAACCAACATTTATCATTTCAATACATATTAATGCTTTTGTAAATATTTTTCTTATATATTGCTTATGAATATAAAACAAACTTTTTTTTTTTAAGTATTTTACTTTTTTGAATAACAGCTTAAATTTTTTATTTTATATTTTAAAACAAAATATTTTGATCATTAAAATTGAAATTTGAATTGATAATTTATAAATTATAAGTATTTAAAGTTTAGATGATTGGAAACTAAAGAAGTAGCACCTGACACTTACAGAGTCTCCATGAATTACTCTAATATACTCATCTGAGTTTTGTTTTTTTGTTTTAAAATATTCCAAAAAATTATAATGATAAAAAAATTTTTAAGTTATTAGCTTACTTTCAAAAATAGTAAATTGTTTTATTTTTAGGAATTTGGCAATGAAAGATTTAAAATACCAGAAGCTTTGTTTGATCCGAGTGCTAGTATGGGTGGTTCCATGTTGGGCGTGAGTCATATTGTTACCACAAGTGTTGGAATGTGTGATGTGGATGTAAGACCAGCATTATACAACAATGTTATTGTTACTGGAGGAAATTCATTTTTACAAGTAAATTATTAATTTGTGTATTAAATTGGAAAACATAATGCTTATTAATTTTTGGTATTTATTAATTCAAAGGGTTTCCCTGAAAGATTAAACAGAGATCTTTCTGCTCGTATACCAGCTAGTATGAGATTAAAATTGATTGCGCCTAATGGATCCACTGAAAGAAGATTTGGTGCTTGGATTGGTGGTTCAATATTGGCATCAATTGGAACTTTTCAACAAATGTGGATAAGTCATCAAGAATTTAAAGAAGGAGGTAAAAGTCAAATTGAACGCAAGTGCCCATAATAAATTATTACTTATTATTTTATACAATACAATTTTATACATTTACTTGTACTTTTGTAGTATGTATTTTATACTTTTTTTTATATATAACACTGGATGTCTCATTTTACAATTACATTATCCTTAAGATAAACAAATATATCCTAAATTTAATATTTATATCCAAAGTCTTTGTCCTGTATGTAAAAAAAGGACAAGCTGTAATTTTTTTTTCTTTCTGTGTAATACATGTGTATATATGTACAATATATATTAAATATATGTTTAAAATCAAAGTTGTTTCAGAGATACATAATAATTTTCCGATTTCCATGATAACAAATAAATTAAAATGTTTCAATTATTAGATTTACATCGACTTTTGCTTACCAACTATATACTTAAAACTGGTTTTAATCTTTATGGATAATATTTTTTTACTTTAAATCGTGAAATCTCTTCAATTTTTAGACAATTTTTTTTGTATTATTTTTATTAAAACATAGGACTACCAAAAGATACAAAATGAAGTCTCTAATTAACACACTTTATAATAATATATGTTAAAGACATCATTAAATAAGTAAATTTAATCATTAATGTGAAAAAAAAAAAATTAAGATTAAATTTTCTTATTTTTATTTGATTTTGTCAAACAATAATAAATATTTACAATAACATTATTTCCATTTCATTTCTATTTACCATAGAAATTATTTTAAGTTACTATACAGTTTACATATTTAAATATTTTTTTTTTATTCAATATAACAATAGTTTATAGCTATTTCCATACAGATACTATTCTTATATCCCTTTCAATTTCTTCATCTAATTGATATACATCTGAATTTGTAAAACAGCTAATTATATTGAGTGAATTAAGTCCATTATAGTAATTCCCCATAAACGTTTTGCTTACATCTTTTTCTTTTAATACCACGGGATACTAAAACAAATTTAATTTTCTAAACAAAATTAATTATTACATTTAAGATGAGATTCTATACACATTTTTTAATATTTTATTTTAAAAGAGTTATAAAGAAATTAAGTATATTAATCAATGATGATAAACAAGTTTTAAAACATAAAGTGCTATTTTGCAATGATACATTTAAAAAAGTAATTTGGAATCAACTTTTTAACTAACAAAATACATCTATTACATATGTTATTTATTTCAGAACATATAAAATGTTATATATTTTATGGTAGCAAAACTTTTATCTCTGAAGAGATTAGATAGTAAATAATTTATTGTGTCGTGGAAAAATTCTCTATTGGATTGAATATCTTTTGTTTTAACATACTCTTAAGTTATGAAACAATTAGTTGATCTTGAACTTCAGGAACAAATAAACTCTATTTACTCTAGAAAGAATAAGTTATATTATTAAGAGTAAAACATGAATTTACTTCAAATTTCTTGAACAAAAATCAATATAACAAACACATAGGGAAAGCTAAAATAAACCATTTAATAAACCTATATATCTATGTATAAATAAATAAAACTTGAATTAAAATGATGATCTGTTTTTGTTCGTACCAGGATCAGTGCATAGAAGTGACATAGTATAAAAAAATAAAAAATTGGTTAGTAAAAGAAAAAAACAAGAGCTGAACTTATTATATAACAGTAACCTTAAAAAATATGTTAATGCAGTTAAAATTTATTTCTTGTAATGTATTAAATGAAATATGTAATAACTAGGGCTCGGAAGTTGATGACTTTAAAAACAATAAAAAATGACCATAAATTGACCATAAAAATGGCAAAAAATGTCCTAAAAAAATTACAGATATTAGTTTTATATTAATAAAAATACATTTTTTTTAAATATTTTACTCTATGTTACTATAAAATTCAAAATATGACATAAAAATAACAAAAATGTCCTTAAAATAGGAAAATTAAAAAATTAAAAATATTTGTTTTATAAATGTCTGTGGTTTAAGTTATCGGCATAAAGGTCAACAAGAAACGATAAGAAATGAACTAGTGTGAAATCAGTAAAAATAACTAAAAATGTGGGAAAATGACCTAAAAATCTCAAAAACTGACTTAAAAAGTAATAAATACCAAAAAATGCAAAATAAAAATTAGTTATTTAGATTCACATGCTTACAAAACAGATTTGTGGCCAGGAGAGCATCGTCTAAAAAGTTCCAAAAAAAAATGCAAAATCCATCAACTTCCGAGCCCTAATAATAACCTATATAATTTACCTTTCTCAACTGACGAATGTAACCATTAGCAAGCCCATAGAGCACTAAATTTCTTTCATCAATATTTATTGAAACTGGATTAAATCTCAAACAAACATCAATAAATCGTGATCCTTGCCTCATTGCAGAGAATACAGTAAATATATCCTTGAACGTTGCTTTTGGTCCACCTACAAAGTAATAGTTATCAACATGTAATAAATATTGAAAAAAATAATTTACTAACCTGGTCGTGATATAGCGCTAATTGCTTCATTATAACGACTTTTGTTCCTAGCAAGTTGAACAATTTTAGTAGTACATACATACATATTACTATAACGGAATAGGTCTACTAATGAAACAGCATTACAATAACTAAAAAAAAAATTACAAAATATCTAAATAAATTATATCAACTGAACAGCTGAATAATAGTTTAGTGTTTGAATATAATTTAATAAATTACACTAAATTTTGAATACAAGCGGCAACCACTTCAATATCCAATTTGGAAAGTTTAGAAATTTTAGATACATGGTTTACTCCATCAATAAATGGGGCTACCTGAAAACCACACGGATTTATTATACTTAATTACATAAGTATTATAAAATGAAATGTGAAGAATACACTCACTTGTCTGGTTGTTAAATCCCACTGTTCATCCAAAAAATCTATTTCAGATACTAGTAACGGAACATCGAAATCCAATGGAGTAGGTGGATTACGTGAAACTTCAATAACATTTAAATAAATAATTGACTGCCGTGCTAAAATAACCATAGTTATTAATATTAAGAATAGTATCATGTTTAAATATGCAAATATAATTAAACCTTAAAACATACATAGAGTAATTAAAGTTTCAGATGTATATAGATTTTCTTTTTGGTATCTAAAATTTTACAGGTGATATATATCAGGTGTTAATTTAATTATATTATGTACAATGAAAAATTATTTTAGTAGTTCTAAATTATGTATGTAATAAACTAGATTAATTAGTTTTATTTAAAAAAAAAGTATACCAGTTATAAAAATAAAAATATATTTTATATAATCTTGGTATGGGAGTATACAATATACATAGTAAATTATAAATAATTAATACTATTTTTTACTTGTAGTGTTATAATTTATAATTAATACTGAAAATTATTATTTCTTATGTGGTCCAATTAATATATTTAATGATAAGAAGATTATTAAATTATGAATAAAAGTTAAAAAGTGTTACTACTCCAGCGCCTCCTGAATATTTGTAGCAACAGAACACACGTTGAATAATTATTTTATTTATGTATGACTATCCTATCAACGATGTGACTTTTGATTTATTTAGTATCTAGTAAAATATAATTTGAAATAAAAAAAACAAACAAACTGCTTAATATAAAACAAAAAACTTATCAATACAATTTTAAAATATTGTATTACCTATTAATGTACATCTTTTGTACAGGTTTAAATCTTCCATTACTTGACTCATCAGACACAACAATTCTTCTTGAGACTTTTCTGATTGATCACTTTTAGAAAGAAAATTATCTTCTATTTCTAAGTTTAACTGTAGAACATTGTGAAAATTAATATTTTATTTTTCATAAATATGCAAGTTCTATACTGAGAACTAGCACAAATGAATAATGAATTTATAGTTCCCTTAAAATTATTATAAGTAAATTTAGTTTTGTCACCAATTTGTTACCGTCTCAATGACAAAAGTACTAATTTTCTTTACTAAAATTTTATTAATATGACTGAGAACTAAGGGTTAAACTAATGTCATTAATTTCATTTGCTAGCTTTGAAAAAAATAATTAAAAAAATAAAAGCACATACCAAAAAAGTAGATAATTTTTTTACGATGGGTTCATAATGTAATGTATAAGAATTATGATCGCAAACAAAACACAAATTAAAGTAGTATGCATTACGAAGATATTTTTGGTCATTAATTTGTATTGGATAACCTAAAATTTTGTTGTCCCTTGTTGTTCTAAAACAAATTAGACAATAGAAATACTTAGTAATTTAAAAATTGTATACCATCATAATATTGCAGTAAAAATGTTGTTATATAGTTTATATGGTAAATAATTGAATATTCCATGTACGATTATTTTCAACCCCATTTTCCATTTAATAATGAATTTATTAAATTTCCAATATTTAAAATATAATTAAAGGTAATATTTTATAGTTTTTGAGATTATCTTAAATAACGCAAGAGATTAGTATCAAAATTTTAAAGAGTACATTTGAACCATTTAACTTTGTTTACGAAGGATAATAAGTCCATAATAATGGATGTGGAAATAGATGGATTAAAACTAGAAATTTTAATTTAATCTATCAATATTTATAATTTATTAAAATTGGCCAAGAGTAATAAACACTAAATCTGATATTACATTTATTTTATATTTTTGTAAAACATGTAGTAAATAAAAAAACTAGTCATTAAAATTGTGAATTAGATACATCAAAAATTTAAAAATTTGATAATATCATAACTAAGCAAGTTACAGTAAGTCAACTTTCATTTGAGAAACAGAAGTTTGAATATTGTATTGCATAAGACACTCCTTAAGTTTTACAAAACTATCTCTGAAATTTGAAAATATAACTTCTTTTTTGTATACTTTTAAACTCCAAAAATTAGAATTTGCTTACAATTATTGTTAAGTATAAAAAAGGAGTGAGTATGCTTAGTAAATCACCTTTCTTAATTTTTAAATAAATCTTCTTTCAAATCATAACAATATCTTTTCAGCTAAATTTCAAAACTTTTGTATTTTTTTAATAATTTTAAACTGACAGTTTATCTTTAAACTATTTAAGATCATTTCTTTTTCAAGGCATTAATAAGAACACAGATTAATGTATGATGAGACTTCAATACGCTATTATTATAATTATTTTAATCCTCAATTTCATTTAG